CTGGTAAGATGGTGTTAAAGGCCGAGCTGTAGACTATAAAAAGCATTCTGACACAATTCCAAGATTTCTCAAAGTGGCTCAGTGCAAAACGTAGAGCAGTGGTGATGGCGTCCCCTATTGACCTATAAGCAAACTGGTGTTGATCAACATTTGGTGGAAGGCAGGACCTGAGGTGTTGTAGGACCAGTCTCTCAAAGCACTTCATCACTACAGACGTCAGTGCAATGGGTCCATAGTCATTCAGGCTATTTATGGCTTCTTTCTTCGGAACTGGGATAATTGTGGATGCTTTCAAGCATGATGGGACTCTAGCCTGTTGCAGGGAGAGGTTAAAAATCCTTGTCAGGACCCCCGTTAATTGGTCAGCACAGGTTTCTACCACTTTCCCCCAACACCCCGTCTGGACCTGCAGCTTTGTTGGGATTTACAGCCTTCAGCTCAGCTCTCACTTGATGTTCATCCAGGGTGAGTGGCTGGAGGGCAGAGGGCCTTTGGTCTAGAGCAAGAGAGACTGGTCTTTTGACCTCAAAGCGGGTGAAGAAGCTGTTGAGCTCCTCTACTAGCAGGCCATTAGCATTGGCTGTTTTTTTCGTATTGCCCTTATAGTTGGTTAGGTGTTGTAGCTCCTGCCACACCTGTCTTGAGTTATTAACTTCCAGATACTTCTCTACCTTTCGTTTGCATTTCTATTTAGCCGCCTTAATGCCTCTTCTCAAGTGTGCCCTGCGTCATTGTATTTGTCTTCGTTTCCTGCCTTGAAGGTGGAGTTTAGATGACAATTTGGGATAAAGAGGTAGAGGAGGCACACAGACACACAGAGAAAAAGTTTTTGCAACTGAAAAAACAGAAACCGAGAAAGCTACCAAAAAGAGTTATTAATTGAGAACAGCTGCAAATGACTGTGAACGGTTTAGAATTATACATCTCCGTCCATTGAATAAGGCAACATTAACAATACCTCTTTTTATAGGGAGACAGATATTACATTTTGAATATTAATGATGTGCAAATTATAAGTAACAGAACTGGTTATTCACGTACAAGAGGCTTTCAGCTTTCAGCCACTCGGGTTAAGAACTAGAAAATTACTACCCACGTATTGGCCAACTTCAAACAACGGTAGGCTGTGTAGAAAGTGTCAGCTGGAGGTTTGTGTTGTAACTTGCCAGCCCTCACCAATGATGGCAACGCAAAATGGAAGGCCTCTTTCTAGACCACCGTGGAAGATCAGTTCCTCCAAAAATAAGAAGTGGTAAAATCCTGATTAACAGAACTATGGATACAAAGTCAAGCAAAACGTATCTCGCGTTTCCTGAAACGTAATTTTTCTTTAAGCAAAGTATTATAATACAACAATTATAATAGTCAAGCAAACAGTGTATCATCAGGTAAATCAATGGTTCCCAAATTCGGCAACTTTAAGACTTGTGGACTTCAACTCCCAGAATTCTCCAGCCAGCAGAGCTGGCTGGAGAATTCTGGGAGTTGAAGTCCACATGTCTTAAAGTTGCCGAGTTTGGGAACCACTGAGGTAAATCAACAAAGCCGGAACACCATGAGGTAAATCACAGAACACGCGGAAGAAAGAGCCGAGGAAAAAGGGAAACGCCCCCCTCCGCACCCACAGCAGCCAATCACAGCACAGATCGCCTCACGCGGGAGCCCGCACTCTTCAACCCATCAGTTACAACTGTGTGTTCTGGCTCACTGCACAACCCCGCTGCTCCAGCTACTAAATTTAAACATTTTAACATTCTGTAAGCATTAAAATATTAAAAGCATAATACAACATTAAAACCCACCGCTGCTACTACTACTGGCACCTAAACTTAGATGCATTTTTATCCTACTGCACTATTCCATACAACATGGAGTAGAAAAGTTGGATCGCTCAAGTTGTAAAAGTGCTCCCCTGCTATGGAAACATGCACACGCTATTTATCAATGAGAGACAATGTGTTTTTTTCCCCTTCCATGGACGTATAACATTTATAAACCCAGGATGCAGGAAGAAAAATGTCACAAAACGTATAAAAGATCAATTAATGCCAATTTGCCTTTTTATTTTCTTTTTGCCAAGGAATGCTAGTTTAATGTTACAGTATGGCAGTTTGTATATCTGCTGAAATATGACACAGGTTCATCATTCATATCTTGAGTGCTGAAAAACAATATTGCTCCAGAAGCCTTTTTATTGTTGCTTTTTCCTCTTGAAATGTTTAAAAACAACGACTTAAACATTTCAAAGGCCTCGCAGCTCTTCAAGCTCTGAAGCCGAAGTGCACGCATGCTCAAACCTTAGATATGACATCTATACATATACTTATTTATTAAAGTGTTTATGTAGGTTTGTCTTAAAATATTTAGAAAACGGTGTATGCATTTGGTACAGACATCTATACATAAGACATGTCACCACTGACTCCCTTTAAGAATACGTTTTTTTTAAAAAAAAATGTACAACAGTTATTTTTACTCTCCTTTATTACAGCCTGTTTAAATCTGTATTATTACATGATTTCAGTTCAACATTTTATTCCCTTGGATGCAGGTTATTTCTAAGGGGTGTTTTTTTAAGCTATATCCCTAAATAAAACCTTGCCCTTTTTTATTTAAGAGGATCGTGCGCTAGTGCATTTGGGTTATTTTTCCAGCGTGGATTCTTTATTTTATAAGAATTACTGCTGGAAAAGCTCTATTTTATATATTTGCTCTCTTACAAAAAAATATAACATCGAAACCTACTGCATACTTTAGATCTCTGAGCTGACTAGGCTCTTGCCATTATATACACCCACAAACACTAATAAAAATAGCACCCTCTAAACAGGATGTAGAAATGGCCTGTTAGCCATTTTCGGTCATTTTATTAAAAAGTCAACTGCTCTCAAAATGTCAGAAGACCGAAGAGCACCACATACTTAAATATATAAAGGTGGGAAACTGTAGGCTTTTGCAAAGCTCAATTAAATCCTCAGTGTCTTCCAGTACGCTTTGCTGTTATTATGTCAATGCGCAACCTGAAGTGAACGAATTATTCAGAATAGCTAAACCGAACATTCCTACAGTGTACCATTAAAATAAGCCACGTTTAAAGTAACAAAATACTCAAAAACAAACTGCAGAAAATTTGAAAGGTTCAGGAAAAGGGGAAATGGCGAACCTATTTTGAATGAAGGTGTAATACTTAGCAACATATGCAAAACTATAAGAATTTATAATTATTCTGGAAAGCTAAATTGCAATTTAGAATTTTAACGATGTAAGTATTTAAGACTTAACTATCCCAACAGAATATGTTGGCTTTATGCAGAACATCAGTCTTCGTTTTTTTTTTCTTCCATGTGATGCGGGAAAGTCCACTATAAATGTTTTGAAATATGCTGAATATCAGCTGAAAAAACCAAAAAAAACCATAAGGATGGTTATTTGAGTGAGTGCATAAACTTTTCCAGGCTATATTCTGAATCATACTGTTCTTGATCCCAGAGTTCTCCAAGATTTTCAAGGACTGACTTCATGGTGGTTTTCCCAGAACCAGAAGTGGCACCATCTGATTTTTCAGTTTTTCCATCCTTAAAAAGATTTGGAGGAACAACGTGGAGGAAAAAAAGAAAACACGTGTTAAAATCTGTGCCTATGTTCTCGGTGTGGCAACAACATGAAAATATTGGAAATCATTACTTATGCAACTCGTTGATAATTTAAAACTTGAGCATTTCAATGGAATCATTTAAACTTCAATGGCGAGGGAACTTAAATGATTAAGTGAATGTGGTCAGAAGCAAAATACCTCTCATTATTTGTTGCTCGTTTTTAGATCTATTAGGAACGTTATTTTATTCGACTCGTTAGGTTTATATTTGCTTAACTTCAGGGAGACCCTGGGCAGCTTATACTTTTTAAGAGTAAAAATATCAAGAACAGAAGAGACTGTGTATCCAGGCAGAGCACACTCTATATCTTACAAAAACAGAAACCGAGCCTAACTATTCTACCCCTAGAACAGTGGTTCCCAAAGCAGAGCTGGCTGGAGAATTCTGGGAGTTGAAGTCCACAAGTCTTAAAGTTGCCAAGTTTGGTAATCACTGCTCTAGAAGAACATGGTCCATGGGCCGGGTGTGTCACGCGCTGGCCAGACAGGTTTTTAACAATATTTGGAACATCAACAGGATGGGAACCATGGATCTTCAAGGGGGGGCAAGCAGTACAACAGATAAGGAACACATCCTCCTTTCCAACGTATGGTTTAATTGACGGGGCTGCAAGTGCATCGACTCTACCCAATATCTTGGGATGGGCAGGATGACCAGCACCATGGATTGCACATGGGAGATAATTGGTAGCACCTCAAACGCAGAGATGTCTCATACTGAGGCTATCCATGCTGCTACAGCTGCAACTTCCAAAGGGTCTTCAAGGGTTGACCTATGTAGAGCACACTGCGACAGTCCAGCCAGAGGTCACTAAAGCATGTGCAGCCATTTGGCCAGCCGCCA